GGTGATACGATACATATTCATACAACAACAGTGGGATTATATACATTAAAATGTGAATATGATAGACGAAAAGAATTAATCGATTCAGTTACTCTACTAAGTTTATCAACAGGTAAGAAAAAGAGTTTTATCCGGGTTTCTTTTTTCGGATCGAAATGTCAAGTGGGCGAAATGAAAACTCAGAATGGGCGCCACCCAAGGGGGAAAAAGCGAGACTTCATCTACTTCAAAACTTTTTTGAACTACGATGGGAGTACGGAAGTATCGGTTTTTCCCCCCTGGCGCCGGCTATCCGTATTTTGCTTAAGGCTCGTCTTTTGCGTGGACGCCGCCCACTCGCTACTGGTTTTTTTAAGAATTATAAATTAAAATGGTAGACTGTTTATCGTAGAAAATTTTGAATTTAGTGAATTTCATTCATAAGTGAAAGATTGTCTTGATAGAAATAACGGAGCAATCAAATTTAAAAGAGAATCTTAGTTTTATATCAAAACTGAATAGAACGGCAGATTATTATAAATATATATTTATTTAGAAACGATTATCAAAATATTTTCTTCGATACTTTACGAACAAAAAATAATCTTTATCGGTAATGAACTTGGTACATTAACACGTTTAATTAATACATTCATCTGTCTTCTTTATCCATTTTCATGGCCACATACTTACGTACCAATTTTACCTGCATTAATGCTCGATATAATTCAAGCACCAACACCATATATTATCGGTATATTACGTTCATGTGAATCATATCTCTCAGGAAATGAAGATCTTCTATCACAAGATAATTCGGATATAATTATTATTGATATTGATCATGATCGTATACGTTCTATAAATGATTATTTAACTGGTAATACACATCGTAGTTCAATGGATAATTTACATAATCTTCCATCAACATATACAGAATCAACACCATTACAAATCTTACCAAAAATATTTAAAATTGAATTAAAACAAGAAATATCATTATTACGAAAAACTCGTTCAAGTTTATCATTAGATGACTGTCAACAACGTTTACGTGATGTATTTATGTCTATATTTGTTCAATCATGTTATAATTATAGAGATTATTATTATAATAAAAATTTTCAACGTGAAGATTTTATTCAATCCAAACAACATACAATTGAATTATTTTTAGAATGGTTTACACGTACACAAATATTCGAATTATTTATTCGACACAAATTTGAAACAAATCATTCATCAAATCAATTTGCTATAACATTTGATTTTGCTTGTGAAAAATATGGTCAAACATTAAATAAACAAACATCACAACGTATTACAGCCAAATCAGTCAAACGAAAATCAGCAACACGAGCAAATAAACAAGAAATTCGTTTTTAATTAAAGAATTTCATTTCAATCACAAAACTACATTTAGTCAGATACATTTTTCTTTCTTGTACATATATATCTATGTTTGCGTGTGCGCGTGTTCTTCTATTATATGTAACAGTCATTGTATGAATACTAGCAACAAAAGATAATCTGTATGTGTCGTTCATGTTCTCTTTTTAATTCGAAATATTAATTTATTTGTGTTCATTCGTTTTTTTTTTCTTGAATATAAAATAAAAAGTAAAACTTATTATAACATGTTGTTAATAAGAAATTTTTATGTTGAATTTATTTATACGGAAAATTTTGCAAGCGATTCTAAATGGTTATTCATTTGTATAGTATTTCCATTTAATGAAAACACCACAACGATCAAAATATGTGAAATATATTTTCTTTATTGATTTTTGAAACTTACGGGGCTGAAAGTAATTATGACATTACATGTAAAAGCTCAGACATATATAAGATAATCGTACATGTTATCCTAGACATGCGGTGTAGAAACTATCAAAAAGAATCTTTTGTATTGTTAGGTAGATGAAAAAAACTGGAAACAAGATAGTATAATACGTTTCTTTTTACTCATTTCATATATATATCTATAATTACATTCTTCTTAGGCAGGCTGATTAGTAATACTGGCGAAATATTTTGACAAAAATTTTACATATGCAGTTTTGTTATTGTCTATTCATATGCGATACTATAAGTATTCTTCATCCTATCGGTTATATTTTCGTTTTTTTCTATAAGCTTGTATATGGACTCGATTTCAATGTTTATTCAATTTCAAAAACAATG